CAAACAGTAAAAAAATAGGGCTTTGAATTAAACAGTGTACAGAATTCCATCCGAACGTAAGTTCGTCATTTTCACTGTAAATGAAAGTATGGTCATTTTTTATCTTTTTTCAGAGTTCAAATTCGTTACTGTGTTATTCTTATGGTCATGTTTATCGTCACGTGGCTGGTGGGAATTCTTCTGGTTCAATACTATTGGAAGGCCTTGTTGTGCATTTTGTTTATCATATGCTGCGTAATCACGGTTAGTGTCACACATTCTTCATGGGCTTATGGTGTTTAGGGGTTGTTCCAGATATCTGTGTTACTTTTGGTTTCGCCCTCTTACACTTGTTATAAGACCCACTTTTGCCTTTAATGTCAATTTGCTAACTTTTGCGTGCTTGACGCAGACTGCCCACCCCGTCTTTTAGCCTGAAATTTCCCTTTTTTCCGTTAGTAGGTTCAACTTAGATAAATAAGAGTATTTAGTAAATAAGAGTGTTTCTGATGTGTGAATTGGTTTCTGTTTTCAGGGATTCATGATTTTGTTATTCTACGTCATCATGAATAGACAGGTTAGACATGCCATTTTGTAATTTGTATCGTTGCGGTACATTTATTTTCCTATTAGTTGGGCACCCTAAATCACTATGGAATCAGTGAACACTTTTCAGTCAACTAAGTTATTCTTGATTTTCCTCCCAGACCATGTTCCCCAAAATACAGAGCCCCATCAATCGATATAACAACCCCACACAACCCACAATCCCTTGATTCGTTTTGACAAGAGCTCATGCTCAATCCTGTTCGCGGTGGTAAATTTACCTTATGGACTCATCTGAGAAAACCAATCTGTTTGTTTCACCCTTTTCCTCCCCTCCCCACCACACACACACTCCAACAGAGCTCAACGGTTTCTTTAAAAACCAACCCCTTCATTTGGCGTTACCATTGTTTCGTTTTATTTTCAGGTTCGCGATGCTATTAAGAGTTGCTGTTGTTACTGCAGACGAGGCCGCCGAGGAAACTATTGGGTGCGCGGAGAAGAAGACGTATCTATAAGGCAACCTGAAGAAGAGGTTAGAGAATGAGTTATTCGTGTCTTCATTTCGTATCTTTCTTAATTGTCAACATAAAAACCCTGCCTTACTTGAAGGATATATGCTGCAAGCAGTGACAGAAGCCATCGTGAATAAGCCATTTCATATTTCCATTTTTCTGTACAAGAGATTTGTAACAACACTTTTGCTTATTCTTGTTTCGGAATACTCTCGATAGAACGCACCCTTAACGTCTTCTTGGCATATTTAAGGCCGCTATATTTCTCCTGAGTCAGTCTTTTTTAGGTCCCGTAGATTGTATATCATCATAATAAATTAGTTGCAAGAGTCATCGGAAAAGAATCCAGGCATTACGCCTTTTATGGTTATCGGGTATTCATTGTTCGCCTCTTTGTTTTGTCAGTATCGGCAGCAACAGAGGCTGCAAGAACGGGAATGGCTAGTCTCTGAGCGCACAGAGCAACAAGAACAAGACCCAGGCATGGACGTGGACGGTGATGACAAGTCTCACGAATACGAGGAGCCCTTCTTACGACAAGAAGCGAGGCCTGTTCTCATGTATGAGGAAAGGCGACCGCTAGACTCTTCTACAGAGAGCTTCGATCCCCTGTACGATAGGGTGACAAAGTCGTCAGCTGTTGCTGATGAGGTACAGCCTGGTCCATCGACTGAAGAGGAGAAAATTAAGACAGAACCAGTGTATGCTCAGGTAAAACGCTTAGAAAATTCCTTTTATACAATGGCGTAAACCAAGAATAACGGAAATAAAACAGAGGATATTACATGGTCGCGCGGAGATACGAAATTTCTCTTCGAGTGCAACTATGTCTTTGGAATTTGAATTCCACCTCCAATTCCCCTGTGGCTCCCGGTCGACTGAGCTGTCAGATCAAGCAGCTCGAAGCGGAAACGAGCGCGAATGTAAAGAAATACTAAAAAACACGTTCCAAGGGTAATAACGTCATTACTGTCATCTCCGCCAATCAGCGTTTCGCATCTACTTTTTCGATGCAGATATTCAAATTCCAGAGAGGTAGTTGCAAGCTCTCCTTTCTTTTACCGCCCTGCCGCCAGAGCGCCCCGAAGAGGTTGCTCGCAGGCTAGGGTCACACTTAACAGGGTAACACTTGAGTTGACAGTTATAGTGGGAACTGATAAACTCTTTTGTGGCCCTTAAATAATGCAGACTAAAGTAAACTTTATTTTTCCTGTGGTAAGTTTGAAATAAGCAATCACTAACACTATCAATATCAGAGCTGACTTCTCATTGGGAGTATGAAGAAGGATTAGCGTGGATACCGTTATTTACACCAAAGCTGTCTTAAGAAAGTTCGACTTGACCTATGTGTCTTATTTTGTTTTGATCAGGTTATCAAACCAAAACGCCTAAGGCATCCTGAGTCAGACAGTGATGACGATGATGATGAACTTTTAACTCCCGAGGAGCGGGAAGCCCGCGGGATGCGAGGATTAACTCGTGAACAAGTCATTCGCATGGCCAAGAAATCAGACGCATCTAAGAAAGTTCTGAAAACGTACTACGAGAGTCCCAAAGGAAGCAAGGAAGACTTGGGCGGACCGGTTTACTTGATGAACCAGGCTGAGATGGATGAAGAACTGAGGCAGTTTAGATCGTTCTTTGCTCGAGACAAAACACCTCTCTCATCAGAGCCTACGACAAGCACTCCGAAACCGGACGATGCTTCGTCTACGCCTGGTGGCACCACTTTCAAAAGGGAAACGTCGATGCAGGTCCATCAAAGCTACCAGAGGATGGAAAGCACGTCGAGTTCCATATCGCAAAGAACCTTTAGTGCAGCCGAGAGTGAAAGGACTGTCACAAGTGTGAGCTACAAAGAAGAAACTAAATTCAAGCAGACTGTTGTCAAGGAAGCAGTGATCGATTCTTCTTTACAGGAACTGGAGCAAAGGTGTGATACGGATGACGACTCACCAAGTAAAGTTACAGCTGTGGTAAGATTACAGACTTAAGGCTTCTAATCGGGCGGCACCCTGCGAGAAGAGCCTCGTTTTGTCTTCTCCTTGATCGAGAAAGAGAAAAGAAGGCTCTGCCTGCATTCCGTCAAGCCCCAGCCCTTCTGGACTTGTCAATCTTGTTTTCTCTCGTCAAACTAGTTTTTTCAAGAGTGAGCATCCGTTTGTAAATAAAGTGATGGTTATCACTGCAGCCGCTGTAAACGCACGCGCACGGCTATTAGGTGCTATTAGGTCCTGAGGCCTGGGTTGGAAAATGTATCCTAGCAACGTGAAGCGCATGCTCAACAGAGATCTTACTTGATTCATGCGGTCATTCTAAAAAAACACAAGCTCAAGCAAGCAAAAGAAGGCTGGGCTCTGCTGGCAGGGTGCTGGCAGAGATGATAAGAGTTCTCTTGTTTGTTATTGCAAAAATTGATGACAGTGCTCTTCTTTGTCGTTGTTTTCACCTGCGATATTAGAGAGCTTTAGATTCTGAGACAAGGACGACTACGAGTACGCGTGAACCGGTGTCATTTTGGCGGGAAAACGTGATAGCGGTCGTCTTTCCACTACGAGTTTTAGCGAGAATGTCGTAGTTACCAAATGTAAAAAGTTTTACCATTTTGCCAGCGGGAGAGGGCTTAAGGGACCGTTCATTTTTTATGAGAGAGGGGGACACCAATAATTTGAGTCCTGAATTGGAACGAATGCCAGTGGTAGCGTAGTTTTGTCTGACCCAGAGAGCGTAGCTAGATTTGGAGACAAATTCATTGTGAAACCAAAGTTTGTGGTTGACTATCTCCAGCATCTTGAGGTCATAGAGTTTAAAAAAAAAAGAGACTCGCGGAAAGGGCAAGGGAAAGTAGGGAGGCAAGAGAAAAGTCCTATGATGATTATCATTGGGCTACTTTGTGCGAAGATGCCGCCAAGCTAAAAAAGCTCCGTGTGCCAGAATTGAACAAATACTTATAACATCATGGGCTATTAAAACAGCATCAGAAGAGCAGCAAGAATGACAAAGTGAAGACAATTATGAGACACTTCCTGCAGATGAATACTCTCAGAACAGGTCAAGCCGAAGTGAGAGGCAGCAATGAATCAGGTCAACTAGACAGCAGTGGTGAAAGCAGTGAGGGAGAAGAAACTGATGATGATTACAAGAGTGATGCCCCTGACTCTGAAGACGACTCAAATGATGTCGTTCTTGCTTTTATCGCCTCAGACGAGGAATATGTAGACGAGCGGCCAGCTACAACACGCTCAGGACGAGCAGTAACAAGAAGAGCTGAAATTGACTTTTCATTCCTTGGAGTGAGGATTTGTTAAAAACAGCTTTCTAGCTTTCAGCTTTCTTTCACTAAATTATGTGAAATGTAACAAAACGAAATTTTAATGCAGTAACTTTTTTAATACCTTATATATTTTTTTATTCATGGGGGGCCTTCCAAAAAATTACTCTGATGAGGGGGGAGCCATGCGAAAAAAATCGGAAATTGGGGGGGGGGGGTCATACAATTTTCAAATTACACTCCTCCAAATCCCACCAGCCCCCCCTACCCCATAAAAAATGAACGGTCCCTAACCTCCCTCAGTATAAATAACCGTACTAACTTTTTTGGTGAAAAAAGTTAAATAAAGCTTTCCGGGGTGTCTATTTTTTTAGAACACCTGCAAAAACGTAAAGTTAAATCTCGTACTCGTACTCGTTCTCGTCCTCAAATCTCAAGCTTTTTATTATATTCACGAAAAATACACAAACAAACAAATACAACTGGTTACAATGGAACCTCGATATAGCCATAAACACGACACCAAACTTAACAGTTAAACATTCATAACGAAGTTCATGTTTGTTTTTCAGTAGAGTCACGATGATGGTAATCTTCGAGAAAGTCTCTTCAAATATTTTACGTCAACGCATCCTAAGCAGGAGGAAGGGGAAGATTGGTGTGAATTACTTGAAGCACTTAAAGAGTAAATATAATTGAAAATCTCGCAAGATACCAGAAGGAAATTACAGAAATAATTTGGCGTACATAGCTTATGCAAAATGCTGAACAAGTTATAGGAATATTAGAGCATAAGATAACGTGAAGCAGTAGAAAAAATGTAGAAATTGTTAATATGCTATCCCAAGTTCATTAGCAGTAGGTTCAGTAGATGAAAACTAGATTTTAGTCTTATCTTCAAATGTAGATGCTTCGCATGTATATCTTCGACTTTTGTAGGGTTATGGTAGTTTTCGTACGTATATATATCTTATTTACCGTTATTTCTCTTGTCTGTTGAGTTCCAACAGTTAATATAGAAACATACTCAAGATATATGCCCACGCGAATTTTTGCCAGACTTAGGTTTTCGTCATTGTTTCCATTGAATCTTTTACTATTTTAGACAAATGTCTCAAACATCTTTCAGATTAAAAATGGATTTGCCCCTATCTTCAGACCTGACTTTCGAGAATCTAACGCCCAACCTATAATACGTGATTCTCTCAAAACTAACCCCTATTTTCAAATCAGGTCCCCTTTGGACGGTACATTCCGCCCGGCATTTACGTTTAAAGCTTACTAAGGGCGTGTATCCTCTGTATTGTAGTCAGTCGCCTCTAATCAAAGCATGATACTTAACCTCTGCAATGAATAGTGTCTTCGGAATCCTTAACTGTTTTAATAGTTAAGAAACTGTTTTGGTAGTTCTGTCTTCCTAGTAAGAATTTTATACAGATTAGAAAACTGATCGTATGTGCCAAGTGCTGTACATACGTAAAGAAAACTTTGAATCTTTTGAAAAGTCTATGTTATAATTAGACGACACGTCAAAAAGTGCTTTTTTGTAATCAGTTACGCGTTCTAAACGTTAATGTTGGCTTTAACTAAGCAACGCCATTATATTCAAGCTTCAGGCGTAGTAGGCTATGAGCCCGAAAAAAAGCAACGATTAGGTCTAAAGGATGAACAACTTTAACTAACATCCCTATGAGAGTCTTCGTTGTTTTTGTTTTAGTTCAATAAAAGATTTTTTAGTCTTTCTATTCAGTGCATCGGGGCTTTGTGAAAGCATCCTCCAGTGAAACCGTTTTCTAGTAATTTGTAGTATTCGTAGAAAAATTATAGATCTGCACCTGGTTCCTTGAAAGATGGTTAAGTTTAATCCAGGATTAAGCAAAATTTTAATCAAAGTTTTCTTGTCTAAAAACACGCAACTCAAGCTTACAAAATACTGTTGGGCCTTCACTCCAAGATATGGTAATGATAAGACAAAATGTTACTCCAAGCAGTACATAGGAAGGTTAATACAAAAACGGAACAAAATTTTAATCCTGGATTAGCACTAATCGGCCTTTCAGGAACCGGGCCCTGAGGGGTTGCCGAATATCACGGTTAACCACTTTAAGTGCCTTTACACTTAGCAGTTACTTGCGCTTTAATAATAAGTATGTTAAGCTAGACAGTACAGCTGTTACAGGGCCTAGGTAGGACACGTGATTTCAACACTAGCTTGCCAGTCGAATAATAAACCTCTTTAGGGACGGACCATTAGAAAAGTTATTGGGGGGGGGGGGGGAATTTTCGAGGTGCGGGAATTTTTTTCGTTATCAAATTCCTTGTATGAATTTTTTTAGGCCATAGCATGAATATTTTTTAGGATTAATTGGGGTGCATGAATTTTTTTTTCATTTAATTTTCCCTTGCGCGAATATTTTTTTTTGTACTTCGCCCGCCCCCCCCCATGACTTTTCTAATGGTTTGTCCCTTAGCTTGTATGTTTTGTTTTCCCAATAGCCGGTCCCAGGGGAACTTGACCCATTGTCTTTTCATAAATTATGCGTAGATATGCACGTGAATAAGACGAAATTTGAAAGAAAAAGTTCCTAAGAGTATTATCACATGATCTTTATTCAGTGGGAAAACAAGACATGCAAGCTAAAGAAGTCTAGTGACGTAAATATAAATATCACGGCTAGAAAACTGTAGATTAACTCTAAAGAGATATAGCCTATAGAGAACATGAACAGGCAAAAATAAAAATGAATTCAAGCAAACTCAGATTTGGTTTTGTCAACTGAGTTGAAAAGCTAGATTGGCCACCGGGGGACTCTCGACAAAGTTTTATACGGGGAGGCTCCGCCCCGAAGTCAAACCCCTTACCCCTTTATATAACTTTTCTGACATAAAAAGTACTCCCTTTCGTTTACCTTGCATTGACAAATGGTACCCCTTTTACATAACTAGTTTAAAACCTTGCATCCCTCATAACTGCTGTAAATAAACTGTGTTTTAAACACGAATACATCCTAAAACCGGGAAATTGTCTTTTATTTTCTTTCGTCGCTTGTGGAAATATGTCTGCGTTCGCAGGCTTGTGTCAGGTCAGTCTCAATCCAGTTACACCGGCGGGTGGCCAGTCTACTTTATCAAATGAGTTATTGTTTGGTTCAAGACTGACTCTAAAACGACACCAGATAATAGAGAGATTTAGAATCACGTTCCCTGACGATAAACAGCCGCAAATGATTTGTACCACGTGCTGACCAATTTCCCCCTTTGTCGTTTTCTGTTCGTCGCTTCTACTCAAAATTTAGTGATTTCATGCCAGTTTCATCAATAAGAATTGTTTGAGCTATTTTTACTTTTTCTATTTTGAGAAATTCTCAACTTGAATCTGACGTTTGAAGTGTGTCGTAAACTTGAACTTGACTCTAAATCTCTCCAATTTCTCTACGCGTGGGCAGTTGTTTAGCACAAGTACGTATTCAGGCACCTTCAGTGCTAATCATGCCAATTCGTGTTGGACATCCAGTTCATTGACTCATCGTTTTAAGATTCTCAGTCGTGGACTCTGCCGCTTCTTACCTTCAGGCAGTTGATGGAAGCTAAGAAGTAGGTCGAACGTAGGCTAAATTTTGACGTCAGAGGTAGCATGTTATTGAAAAGCGCACTTTGGAAATTACTATCAGAGAAATTACCATAGCTTCGTGACAAACCGGTTGGCTCCTCTTGTCTCCCTGGTCTTATATTTGAAGTACCGAAAACATTTAATGATACATTATGCTTTCTTGAAAACTTTCGCTTTTTTTGATATCAAGAGCCACAATTGCTCTTGTTGATATTCAAATTCCTTTGTTTCGAGCACCTCATGGTTTCCCACTAGCAGTTGATTGGTGTAAACCGTGGATGGTAAAATTCTTTCTACTATCTATTTGTATCTTTCATGAATTGGCCTTCCGTCTACACAAAACCAGTGAATCCGCTCGTTCATCCGAGTCCTATTATTTTGTTTAACCCTTTAAGTTCCAATAGTGACCAAGATCAAATTTCTCCAAACAATATCCATACACTGTCATGAGATAAGTTATGAGAATTAATAAAATGATCACACAAGAGAAAATGCCTTGATCTATTATCAAATTCTCTCAACTCATTCTTTAAGAAATGTATAGGGATGAGTTTGGAGAATTTGTATGTGGATACTGGGTCTTAAAGGGTTAAAGAAATATTTGGTTTAAAAAATAATATCCGGATTCGTGTGGAATGGGCCTGAATTCACGTGTGAAACGCATAAACCTGACTCTTTCCCCATAAGTCCCTCAACGTCACAAACTTTTAACTTACTTTAAGTACGCAATATTGTAAACGCAATGTACATGTAACGAACTTGTTCTGTCGCGCGCCATCAAAAAACTGAATTAACAGTAATTTTAAATGATTACGGTTTTCACACTCCATCGTCGTTAAGCGCTCGCGTGTCTAAGGTGTATTAATGCTAAAAGTAACATTTAGATACTTTTAAAAGATTACCTATATTATGATTTGAGTATAAACTCGTTACAAAACAAAGTGAATATTCAAACCCTCAATATTAGTCAATTAACTCTACTGGAAGTAATTCAAAAAGGATCGTGGAAATATTGGAACTTGATCAGGTAATTATAATTTTTAGTTTGAATCCCTGTCAATTGAATGCAACTGACAGTGACTGTAAGATTACTATAAGTTTTTGATGTAAACATGCTATCTATTAGCTTAACAGAAGAGGGGATTTTTTTTTCTAAAATCATCCAACTTTTCCCTCTTAAAGCTACGCATAAATTTTTGGATTTCTTTGCAATGGTTTAAAGCTTATTCGTTAATTTTAAAGATTGTTGCTATAAGTATTATATTAACGGACGCTTCGCCTTTGGGCTTGGCTAAATCTATATATTACTCTTATGCAGTAAGATGGAACGGATTGGAAATACTGGAACTTAATCAGGTACTTATATAATTGCTGGTTTTTATCCCTGACGATTGAATGCAAATATAATGCATGATTATACTTATATGCGGTACTGGGCACGGAAACCATGAGAGGTTCTTCTTCAACCGTATACGTTCCCATCATTGCCTTAGTCCACCGTTTTTACTATCATCTGATATACTCTCGACTAAAACATTCCTTTAAAAAGTCTTTTAATCAGTTTACCTTTCTTGTAATTCATTCAGGCTCGATTACCAGCCGCTTTTCGGGAAAATGAGCCGATCAAAGACCGGACCCGGGAGACGGCGGAAATCGAGCCTATCAGTTAAGAAGTTTCAAGGAGAGTGTCATGTAAATATCATAAAGTATCTAGCGCGTTAGCTACAAAATGAACATGATTGACAACATCCTTCTCTAACAATTGATCAGCCACCACTGGCCAGCTATGAAATATCATACCAAAAAAATAACTTTAAATTTACTACTCTTGTTTAATTCACTGCATCCACACTTGTAAATGGTCTTTTTAGCAAAGTCCATTTTTTTTTCCCAACAGTCAATTGGGTAACTTTGCCGTGAAAAGATTGAAATGCTTCCAGGTTTTACTCAAAAAGTGTTCCTATAAAAGTGACCTAGTCTATGTAATTAACCCTTAAGACTCGACGACTAAGAAAGATTAAATAAACCCATTTAACGATAAACATTAGGTATGCTACGCCAAAAGTGACAAAATATTAA